GGAATTGAGTGGTTTTCAGGTGATGGATCTGTCCCTCTTGGCTTTAAAAATACAAAATGATGGAGAAAACAGTACGGAATACCTGAGAACCACCAAATCCTCCTGAATATCTCCCAAACAACAATTTTCCATCCCTAATAGCAGTAAAGTAGTAARGCTTTAGGTGATGAAATTGGAGCAGCACACAAAGCTCTTCCTGCACTCAGGGCACTCACAGGGCTCCCCTYACCAGTGCCTCCACTGGTGTCGGGTAAAGTTTGACCTATCGGAGAACCTCTTTCCACACTGGGAACACTCGTAGGGCCTCTCCCCAGTGTGGATGCGCTGGTGGGTGACGAGGGTGGAGTTGTACTTGAAGCCCTTCCCACAGTTGGAGCAGCGGAAGGGCCTCTCATCTGTGTGAATCCGCTGATGCAGGAGGAGATTGGAGCTGCTCTGAAACCTCTTCCCACACTCAGGACACTTATAGGGCTGTTCCCCAGTGTGGATGCGCTGGTGGGAGATGAGGCTGGAGCTCACACTGAAGGTCTTCCCACATTCACCACATTCGTAGGGCCTCTCCCTGGTGTGTATGCGCTGGTGGCGGATCAGTTCAGAGCTGCAGCTGAAGCCCTTCCCACATTGCCCACACTCGTAGGGCCATCCCCCAGTGTGGATCAGCCGGTGACGGATGAGGAGGGTGCTCGTGCTGAAACTCTTCCCACATTCCCCACAATCGTAGGGCCTCTCCCCTGTGTGGATGCGCTCGTGGCGGATCAGTTCAGAGCTGCAGCTGAAGCCCTTCCCACATTCCCCACACTCATAGGGCCATTCCCCAGTGTGGATCAGCCGGTGACGGAGCAGGCGGGTGCTTTTGCTGAAGCTCTTCCCACATTCCAAGCACTTGTAGGGCTTCTCCCCAGCGTGAAGCTGCTCATGAACCCCCAGCTCCAAGCCCCRGYTGAAGCTCTGGGTGCCTTCCTGGCACTGGGTGGGTCTTTTCTCCTCAGAGCACCCTGGGCTGGGTTTGGAGCTCCTCCTTGCACAAGATCTCCGGGGCTTTTCCTTCTCATTGGATTCCTGCGCCMTGGAGCTGCACAGAACAGCCTCTTCCATRAGGTTCTGTTGGGGCGATTTGTCCTCCTTGGTCTCCATCCTCAGCTCATTGTCTGSGGGAGGAAGGACAAGGAGAGGATAGGATTTGCCTCCGTGCCAGAGGGAAGGGGAAGGAGATCTCCCCAAATCCATCCCCTCAGGACGGTGTCAGCAGTGGGGTTGTCCTGCAGCCGGGGACGATGCTGGGCTGGGAGATGGAGCAGGAGAGAGGGGAATGGAGAAGTGACTTCCTCCTCACCTGCCTGGGGGTCCTGGGACATCTTCCTCTTCCTCA